TTTCCTTTCAAATATGTCACCGTGATGTTTTGGTGCCTTTGGTTCTATAAAAACACACATGCTTTACAAGAAGTGACAATTAGACGAAAAGCAAAAAAGAGCCAACAAGGAGACAGTAATTTTTCCAAGATGGCCAAGCCCTCCTCAACCACTTATTTCATTCTCCTCCTTGCGTTAACCACAGGTGTATATACACTTTTTGTTCCTAAATCTTGCCCTAATATCTACTTTCTCTTTTAAATGAATCCACTGTGTGCTGGTCAATTTATCATTTGGCTTTGTTAATGCTAATTCCAATTCATTATATGGAGATTCAACGTTACGTTCCAGAGAATCAAACTCTTGACATATCCTAAACATAACCCATTATCCCAAAGGTCGTCCCTAACCAGTACTTGGGCTAAACCCCAAGGACTTGATATTGAACTTTTCTTTCTTAATTTTATGAAACGACTCTAAATGAGATGGAAGAATGCGTATGGATTTTTAATAAAGGACTTAGATAATAAAGCAAGGATTTTCAAGACAAGAAGAGAGTTAATTAATCCATTGCTATGTATGCCTTTTTGCAGTTTTTGACAACAAGGTAAAGGGAGACTTATGCTCTGAGGTTTTGGGTGGTTGTCTCGACTGCCAATCAAGGTGTGAATCCCAATATCAAAGTGGCAATGGGGTTTGTGATCACTCTTCTAATCCTCCACAATGCAGATGCTATCATAATTGCCTTGAACGACAGCCAAATGGCCTTGAACGACCGTTGTCAAACGGCAAGACATGCAATCTGGGTTTAGGTCCATCCAGCAATGAATGCAACAACAATTCTTGTAGTTTGAAATGTGCCGGTAAATTCCCTGGAGGTCAGGGACTTTGTTCTCCCAATTCTTACTCTCAGTGTGTGTGCACGTTCAACTGCTAAGGTGATATAATTAGGGGAAGTCTCTCAATGTATTTGTGCACAATTCATGTCACTGAAACCCCAAGTTTCACAATAAGCGCATTGATAAAAGATAAAACATAAACTTTTAATACAGACTCTCTCTCTCTCTCTCTCTCTCTCTCTCTCTCTGTGTGCATGGAGTGTTGCATCAGCACCCAAATGGAGTGTGAAAGATTGAAAACTGAGTAATTAAGTGTTCTCTCACTATTGCTGTTCGATTGTGGGTAACGAAGGTGGTTCAAGATAAACACACCAGTCCCTCAAATTAAATTCTTCCGGGAGAGAAAAACACAAAATCATCAATTGTATATATGCATTGATCTAATGGCTCCGACCCCCTCCCTGTACATTACAGTAGCTAAAATATCGCTTTGTCAAGACAGAGAAATGGATAAAGCCACAATTTTTGTCAAATTCAAGGAATACATTAAGAGAGAGTATTCATACGACTATAGTGGAGAGATTTTAATTAGTATAGGTGCAACTTGAATCGATTCAACATATCACATCCTCAGCTTAGCACCCGAATACGCATTGAGACACTCATTAGAAGGATAGATAATGCTGTAACAAAATCCACAACCTTTCAGAGGTCCAGCAAATTTCATGGCACAATTCGAATTGCAACATTGATAGTTGCAGGCAAAGCTGCATGGACCTATACCCAGATTGCATGTCTTGTATTTTGGTGGCGGTTGAGAGCATTTGTAGAAGCATTTGCATGATGGAGGATCAGAGGTTTTATCACAAACCCCTTGACAACGAGGATGCTGGGACTTACATCTTTTCTTGCAACTTTTATCACATGCTCCCAAATCTTCAGAGCACAAGTCTCCCTTAACCATGTGATCAAAATGTAATAAAAATGAGATACCAAAGTCAGCACAACTTTCAACAAAATCTACTAGTTTGTTTAACTGAACCATCAAAATGTAATAAAAAAGTAATCCAAGTAATCAAATTCATTCTATTTTTAAGATCTTATTCTCGCTTTTACTCACAGTCTAGTCTTTATTAGAATATCAATATCCAATCCATAACCAATTGGTAATTGGTGCGGAAGCCCAAGATCTTTTAAGCATTTACGCTAGCCTTTCATTTTTCGATGAAGGATACTCTCTCAACATGCCCCCTCACGTATGGGCTCTTTTACTCCTAACATATCACAAGGTTCAGCTGACTCTCCTCATGCCTTAGCCTTTATTATCAAAAGGAAATGTTTGTGCTAGTTACTATAGTGGGGACATCACATTCCAGCGGGCTTCTACAGCCCTGGCAGCTTATGGGTCCCAGCCCGCCATTTTGTGGGCACATGCACTGTTGGGCCAAGTACGTAAATAATCAGACTTTGATATATATCATATTAGATTGTGAGCATCCAACCAAAAATCACGTTAGCAATGGATGAATATACTGTTAATAGTCTTGATATAGACTATGCTAGGCTTCTATCTTTCGATGTGCGTTATAATACTCTTAATAGTCTTGACATAAACTTGTGAAAGGTTTCTGGAAAGCAGAGAAAGAATCGGATTGTAGTTAGTTATTCTTAAGTTTTTGTCACTATTGCGTGTTGCACTTTTTTGTTAGCCCATCCCAAAGTGCTTTAGTGCATTCCAAATGAAATCAGCTGAAATTGTCACTTTTTAAGGGAACTACCAGACTCATGTGAAATCTATTTTCACCTACTTCACAGTATTTGCGGCAACCAAATGAAACCTCTTCTTTTTTCATAATTATAAATCGGGCTTATAAAAACCAACACCATATAGTCTGCCACATCCACTAAGAATCTGTACATGTCACTCAAATTTTCAAAAAGCAAAACAATGGTGGTGAAAATCAAAGGCTGCTATGTACTGAAACCCTCTACACCAACGTTGCAAGGTACCCTAGCTCTCTCAGAATGGGACCAAGTTGGCACCATAACTCATGTTCCCACTATCTACTTCTACAAACCAGACCAAACCTTTGCCGCACAACCTGACACTATAGCCAACATCCTCAAAGACTCATTACGCCGCGCACTGGTGCCATTCTATCCTCTAGCAGGTCGTTTGCGTTGGATTGGCGGAGGCCGTCTCGAGCTCCATTGCAATGACATGGGGGTTCCGTTCATTGAGGCTGAGTCCGATTCGAAACTTGATGACTTTGGTGACTTCTCTCCTTCTCCAGAATATGACTATCTTATCCCCACTGTAGACTACACCCTCCCAATTCATGAACTTCCTATATTGCTTGTACAATTGACTAGGTTCAAGTGTGGTGGTCTTAGTCTTAGCTTGACTATTTCACATGCTGTTGTTGACGGGCAAAGTGCATTGCATTTCATTTCTGAATGGGCTAGGCTTGCAAAGGGTGAGCCAATTGGAGTAATGCCATTTCTGGATCGCAAAGCATTTCAAGATCGAACACTCCCAGCTGGAAATACTCTAGGGCTTGACCACTCAGAGTTAGACCATCCACCCCTTTTGCTTGGCGAATCGGATAATATCGAGGAGAGGAAGAAGAAGACCACTGTGGCCATGTTGAAGCTTACCAAGCAACAAGTTGAGAAACTTAAGCGAATGGCAAACGAGGGGAATGATTACAAAAATTCCGGCACTAAGCGGGCTTACACACGGTATGAGACTGTGGCAGGGCACATATGGAGATGTGCGTCTAAGGCTAGAGGTCACAGAAATGAACAACCTACGGCAATGGGGGTTTGCGTCGATTCAAGGAGTCGTATGCAACCCCCATTGCCCCGAGGATACTTTGGAAATGCAACATTTGATGTGATTGCTACAAGTCTTGCTGGCGACTTAGTGTCCAAGCCATTAGGGTATGCGTCGAGCAGAATAAAGGAGGCAATCGAGAAGGTGACGAATGATTATGTGCTGTCTGCCATTGATCACTTCCGAAACCAGCCGGACTTGACTAGGTTTCAAGACCTTCATGCTCTAGGGAGTGATCAAGGGCCTTTCTATGGAAACCCTAATCTTGGGGTTGTGAGCTGGTTGACACTGCCTATATATGGGCTTGACTTTGGATGGGGAAAAGAAATTTATATGGGTCCAGGACCGCATGATTTTGATGGGGATTCCTTGCTCCTTCCAAGTCCTGATGGAGATGGTTCTATAGTTCTGGCTTTGTGCCTACAAGTGGCGCATATGGATGCTTTCAAGAAGCATTTCTACGAAGATATTATATAAATAACTTGTGCCAAGACCAGATATATATTGTCTACGTTATATAGATGAAAAATAAAGAACAGATATATGCAAAATAATATAATTACCAAGTACTATGGCTTTAGCCTACATATATCAACTTAATTGGTCTGTATTGAGAAATTCAAGTAATTTTAGTATATAAATGGAAGTATTATAATTGTAATTATACTACCAAGTTCACAATAACTATACAAGTCTCAGGTCAACAGTTCGAGCTCATGGTTCTTGGGCTCAAGGCCCGAGGATCAAGTTCATTCGGTACTTGAGATTTGGGGGCTAAATTCTTCAGAATTTTAAGGATCATGGATGGATGAGTTTGGGTCGTAGCCTGCTACTCAACTATGCAGGGCAGTACGTAGGATTGCAAAATAAGGCCCAAGGCAACGAGTATAGAAGTCATTCTATAGAGAGGGTCTTATTTAAGGGCCTTTCTTAATCGTTAGTTTAATACAGACGATTAAGAGATATTAAAATCTCATAAAATTTTTTTTTTTTTTTTTTTTTTTTTTTTTTTTTTTTTCCCGTTACCTTTGGGGAGGGGGAAAGGAGAGGAGCGTTTTAATATGGTAATAAAACAAAATATAAGATCTAAATGGCATAAATTAATACCACATATATTCTTCCTCAGATTTGACACGATATAATATGAACAAAATTATTGATTAAGGGATTTTCCATTAAAACCAGAATCACATTTATTATTTCTTAATTCAAATTTTTTTTTTGGGGTAAAAATTTCTTAATTCATTATGACACTCTCTCCACAGAAAGTAAACCCCCAAAATTCTGTCATTGTCTATAAATAATTAAATACCAAACATTTGAACCCCACAGCTACAGACATGAACATGGCTGCTTCTTACATCATCATTGTCCTCCTTGTATTCACTGCAGGTATATTTTATCAGTTGGGCTTGCATGATTTCTGCATGTGTATATGGAAATTTTGCTGTTTTTTTATATGTTTGCACTTCCAACTTTTATTTTCATGCTTTGATTCTTCTTTTGTTCACTCGATTGAAAATCACCCCCAAATCAACGAACAAGAGTATGGGTGCCTTGCCTTCTACTATGCGGCTTGATGATCCAAATTGTTTGTTGTTTATTTTATGAGTCAATTCTTTTGTTTATTTGTTTGCTTGTTTTTCATTTGCCATTGTGAGTAAAATTCTACGAACTAATTCATCTAGGATGATGGTTTATTAGGGACCCTGATGCCTACGGTGAAAGGTGACATTTGCACAGAAGATTTGGGTGCATGCGATGATGGCTGCAATTCAAGGTGCACATCTGCACATTCTGGGGCTAAGGCCGGTTGCGATTTGAACAACAACACCCCAGTTTGCAGATGCTACTTCGACTGTCCACCTCCATCTCCACCGCCATACTCAAAAACTTGCAAACTGAGTTTGGGAATATGGGGAGAAAACTGCTCTGACGAGGACTGCAACTCAGAGTGTGCTGCTAAATATCCTGGACCCCAACAAGGAATCGGGTACTGTTATAGCGTTGGAGCTCCTTTTTATACTTCTTGTTTTTGCCAATACAAGTGTTAGCTTTCAGCAGCTTGATTGATTTCATTGTCGCCAACAAAATATTACCATTCACTACTTGTTGGCACCTGTTGGAAATTTTTTTGCTATTTAAAATTATTTATTTATTTTGGATTCAAAATTTATTTATAATTATTCTTAAAAAATTATTGTGAAATGTTATGTTGGTTTTCTTGTTATTATTTTTTTGCCAAAGTTAGAAAGAAAGAGAAGGGAAAGTTAAACACACAAGTATCATAGGGGCTTGAACCCATGACCACTTGGGAACATGCCAAAGGACTAGGTCAATCCAACCAACTAACACCCATTAGTCGGCCCCGTTTGGTTTATGGGAAAAGAGACTTGGGAATGGGAAACCAATTGCTTTCTCATGTTTGGTAAGGCTAGGTATGGGAAATCGTTGTTTAGCTCATGGGAAACTAGGGGGGGAAGTGAAGTCATCCTCCTAACTTGGGTTTTGTTTTCCCTCCTCAAGGGAAAGTTTGGGAAAATGAGCTAACATTAAATACATATTTTTTATGACCATTTTATCCCCATTAACAATTTAGAATTACAATATATCATTAAATGCATTATTTTTTTATTTGATTTAATATGGGTATAATTGAAAATTTATACAAACTTTGTTTTCCATTCCTACTCAAAACAAACATGGGAAAGGAAATAAAGTGATATTTCTCGGTTACTTTCCCAGCATTACCAAACGTGGGAAAGAAATCTTCCATTCCCATTCCTTGGAGAATGACATGGGAAATGGTTTCCCCTCAAATTCATTCCATGAACCAAACGTATGTTAGTTGACGTACGTAGCCCTGTTTCCCAACACCCGAATGTCCAACCTTTTCATCCAACCTTACCCCTAATCCCTTCTACTACAAAAATCGCAATAGACGACATTTTTTTACCGTCGTCTTTATCCCTTGAAAACCGTCATATAATCAACAATTATCTTTTGAATGTCGAACTACGATAGTGTTGTTGATTATCTGTAAAGATGACGGTTTTTATAATAAAACCATCGTCTAATAAGTTCGCATGATGTTGGTATGTGAATTAATGACTAAAAAATGTCATGGATTAGCTGTGAATACATTTTTACCATAAAACCGTCATCTAATAAGTTCTCAAGTTGGCATGTGGATTAATGACTAAAACTCGTCGTTGTTTAGCTGTTAAGACAATGTTTCTTTGTAAAACTATCGTCTATTAAGTTCTTAGGTTGTTGGCATGTGAATTAATGACTAAAAACTCATTGATTAGATGTGAAGACAAGGCTTATATTTAAAATCGTCATCTAATGAGTTGTGAAGACAACGGTTGTATTGTAAAACCATCGTCCTAGGCTATGTTGTACGGATACGGACATGCCACAGGGGAAATGACAAATAAATAAAAAAAGGGCACGAGGACACGACAAATAATTTTTTAATAAATAATAATCCTTATATATATTTATAAATAAAAAAAACAAAATATTGATGTTCATACTCCATTAGTTGACCTTGAGTATCAGTTGATCTGTGTCCGAAGAGTGTCTTGACTGTGGACACGGGTGTCCGATGAGTGTCAAAGTGTCCGACACTCCGACACTTGGGCAGTGTCCATGCAACATAAGTCCCAAGCTGTATTGTAAAACTATCATGTAAAGTGATTTTACATTTTAGCTTTTTTGTTTCTTATGGTTCTATACAACGATTTTAACTAAAAAACCAACCATAATTCTCTGTTTACAATAAATTGAGGTCCAAATCGCAAATTACCCACACCATGCATTTATATACTTAAAAATTGTTTCTTTCATAAAACTTGAAGATTCAATAGAGGGCAAAATACCATATCCATTTCCATAGCATTAATCTATAATTAGAAATAAAGGGCAAAAGACCCACTAGTGTAGTGGTTTGGAGCAATTGCTCCCCCAGATAAGGTCCTGAGTTTGTATCTTAACATATGTATAATGTGTGTGAGGTCAGTATATTATCGTCCCTCTCAAAAGAAAAAGTCCTCAAATAATTAGAAATAGAGAAACTACATGTATTACTCACAAATTCTACCCATTTAAACAAAATTTCATAAATTTGTTCTTAGCAACCATTAAGCCACATCATGAAAATCTTGTGAGTCAAAGTCCTGCCACGTCATGGGTTAAATACCTTTTGGACGACAAGAGACATAATTAAAAGAAAAATTAGGTATTAGACATAATTAACTTTACTAATTAGTATTTGAGACATTGGGTATTTTTGTTTGGGTTTTAATACCTATGAAAAAATTGTTATTTTGAATTAGGCCAAAGAGGAGGTCTAGATTCGTCTGGGCTTGTCTAAATTATAAAGGTAAAATACAATTTTACCCTTTTGTTTTAAACCAAATCTCAGCCCTTTTCTCTCTCCTCTTCCTTATTCACTCCATCGACGACGACGCCCTCTCTCTCATCTTCCCTCTTCTCCCCATTGACGATACGACGCCATCTCTTTCTCCACCTCCTTCTTCGCTCAATCAACAACGATGACACCCGCTCTCTCTGCTCTTCCTTATTTGCTCATCGACAAAGACACCCTCTCTCTCATCTTCCTTTGTCTCATGCGAAGCTCTATTTTCATCTGGTGAGATATGTGTTTTCTAGATCAGATTCTTATTTCATCTTTGCAGTTCAAATAGTTCAAAGGAATCTTCATTGAAATTAAACGAAAAATACATTAGATATTTGTATTTGTTGATGCGAAAAAATGGTTCGGCACTTTTGGGTTCAACTTAGTGATGTCTTTACCTTCGGAATGCTTTGAGGCCTTGGTAGAGCGTGATCCTGCAAGATAAGGGTCCGCTCAGTAAGACCTAGGGCACTAGTGTGGTATCGGCCGAAAGCTCTCCGATGCTTAAGTGAGTACGGATTTAGTAAGAGATTTGAATAGATCTAAAGGCAGTATGCCGAAAGTTCAGATTACCTCTATTTTGGGGAATTGTGCTCCTTTTATAAGTCTTGGGAGATGTGCAAGTTGTGTAGAATTTTGATGTGGGACTGTGGATATTCACAGTTGATGCGCCACATGTCCAGTGGGCAATTGGTGCTTTTACACTGCAATCGGTAGGCATGGGTACTGAGGGATTCCCTACCGAGGCCTTGCTTTATCCATGTGTTCAGCTTTTACTGGTCGCTGATTTTGGTATCAACAGTATTGAAAACAAATTTGGGAGAAAGCAGTTCCCTCTTCCTAAAAGAAAGGAAAAGTAATTTAATTAACTGACAAATATATCTCAACTAAGAGGACTCGCTCTCCATATTTTTCAATTCTTACTTCGTTTGAGTTGTTTTCTTTGTCCCATCTTAATCTCTTGCCTGTATCTCTTTTAGTTCCCTGAACTAAATGCATCAGTACTATCACTTTTTATATGGTTCTCTTGCCACATAGATTTCTTTTTAAATGATGAAATCTGGGAATGCTGACGAAAACTTCTTATTTAAATGATCGTTCAATCCTTTCAACAGAAATCGTATGAAGCAACTTTCAGAGTTTTAGTACCTTTTCAAGTCTTTAGAAACTAAATTTTTTTAGTTTTTGTTTCTTGTTTACATTACAACCAGTTACACTTGGTATCTGACAAGATTATAAATATAAAAAAACGAATGGTCAAGCTCAAAAGAGAAAGGTAAAAGACAGCAAAGTATGTTTTGATAATTGTGGATAGATTTCAAATTTTGGTATTTTTGTCATTGGAAATAGCTTGAATTGTGAATTGTGAGAAATTAGTCTGGAATACAAAAATTGCCTACCTTGGATATTTGTTTTGTAGTGTGATTCCTATTTACGCATTTATCTTCTGATTTGATGACGTGCATATCATTGTAAGAAATTGTGTTTTTTCATCTTTTATGATTATTTTTTAATTTAACAATTTTGTTTGCAAGTAACAGCATTGAGTATAATTGATTAGGGTTTGCTAATTTAAATATTATCATTTGTAATATTTTTCAAAATTGGTTATATTTATTAATAATCATATTTTTGCTTGTGAAATCCAACAATGCATGTATGTCAGGCAATGATCTAATTTAGCTGCAACTTCTTATTATAAAGCTCATTTACTATGCAATTGTCTTGATTTGGAAATGGTATTGCATAACTACATCGTATAGGTTATGCATTGTAGTTTTGTACAAACTACATTGCAGTTTTCATTTAATTATAGTTGGATTTTTGCTCTTTCCTTGGCTGTCAACCTCACCAATTTGAAGAGTAGAGGCTACCCAGATGAGGAATTGGGTGGGCAAGAGAAGAGTAGAACTACCCAAGAGCAAGGGAACTCAAAATTGGACTTTTGGAAATTGCATTGCAATTTTCATTTAATTACAATTGTATTTTTGCTTTTTTCTTGGCCTTCAACCTCACCAATTTGAAGAGTAGAGGCTATCCAGATGAGGAATTGGGTGGGCAAGAGAAGAGTAGAACTACCCAAGAGCAAGGGAACTCAAAATTGGATTTTTGGAAATTGCATTGCAGTTTTCGTTTAATTGCAATTGGATTTTTGCTTTTTCCTTGGCCTCCAACCTCACCAATTTGAAGAGTAGAGGCTACCCAGACGAGGAATTAGGTAAGCAAGAAAAGAGTATAACTAACCAAGAGCAAGGGAACTCAAAATTGGACTTTTGGAAACTGCATTGCCAGAAACAGGGCATTTTACCGACATGTCTTGAATTAAAAAAAAAGTATTGTTTTGTTTTGTTTAACTCTAGAGCTGAGCATTTTTGCCCAAACTCAACAATGCAGTTTCCATTTTTGTTTGCATTTTCCGTTTATGCATTGCAGTTTTCGCTTATACATTGCATTTTCCGTTTCTGCATCGCAATTTCTATTTTAGTACTTTCATCTTGGTTCCTCCATTTTGCTTCAATAAAACTAATTTTTGTTTTTGTAGCTGTTTTCGTTTTTATTTTTGTCTTTTTTTAACATAATTGATATCTACATTGTATTTTTGTTGCAATTTTTGTGTGAATATGTGTTGAAATGATTTCATTTTAAAACCATTGATTGTTTATATAAATATTGTATAACCGAATAAATATTACAAAATCAAGTTTGGTGTAGTGGTTTGTGAGTGAGCCTTCCCCATTTGAGGGTCAAGGTTCAAGTTCCTTCAATAACACAAAATATTTTTGTAAAATTAGGTACTACATTTTGGTCTTTTGCCTTATGCTAATTAGATGAAATTGTATTCATATCTTCCAAATTAGTAAACTATATTGTGTTGTAAAACTAAAGCTCCCTATATTAAATTGGTAGTGAAACAAATATTTGTGTACGATAATGTGAAGAAATTAACTTTCAAAGAGTAAAAACTTGAAATCCGGTAACTTTGTGGTAGTAAAGTGAAAAATATCCACACACACACACACACACACATATATATAATTTTGAAAGAAGGCGATCAAAACCATCCATTTTTATAGAGATAGATTGCATTTATAATTTAAGCACAAAAGCCGTCAGCCACAAGACCTAATAGAAATACAGAAAACCACAGAAAATTATTACAACTACGGAAGCGCACAGTAACTACAAAAGGTTAATCCAAATATAGAGGACTACATTGGCAACATCAGGCACATAATTATATCTCCATGCATAGCCATAAAGGGCCAAAGAAATTCCGACATAAAAGTCGCAAGCTTGCAAAAGTCAGGCATAGACCACAATGCACCTCAACGCACATGACTACAACTGCAAACTACAATCTTTAAACTCTCACAAGTAGAGACTACGAACACGCAACAAACTCAAAAAGAGTTGATGCACTTATTACAAACAAAAACTAAAAACACGAAGTAAGTCAAGAGCTGGAACCCAAGATATGCAAAATAACCCAACAAAACCAAACAGTGCAGCAACTTTGTCTCCAAGCAAATCCAAGCTCAAACCCTAGATCTGTAAAACAAGAGAAATGAGAGGGAAGGTGAGGGGATGGGCAGGTAAGAAGGGAGAGGAGCGGGGTGGGAAGGAGATGAGAGGACAAATAACGAAAAGTTGGGGAGGGGAGGGGAAGGGGATTTGTGCGTCAAAACAGAGGGGAGGGGAGGAAGAGGAACAATGACCTCCTCCTCCCTCAAGGTTTGTGTGGTTGAAGATGTTTTTTTTCTTTCTAAAAGTATCCATATTTTATTTAAGAGAAAGAGTACTAAGGAATTTTTTATATTTTATTTTTATACAAGCACTATTGAGTGAGGGGGGAATCGAAACTAGGACATCGAGTGAAGAATGCTATTAACCACTTGAGTAATAAGGAAAGGGAATTTTGCACATATACCACATGGACTATTAGGGGTGTGCACATTTACCACTTAAAGAAAACCAAGGTCTAAAATATTGATGGTCCAAAAATACAGAAATTTCGTTGGAAATATTGAAAAATTATTGATATCGATTAAAATTGAATAAAAATCACGGAAATTGTAAGAAAAATTTGGAAATTTTTATTGAAATTTTAGATGATGTTTATTTAGTCAATTATCTATTACTTTATCACAAAAAATCAGAAGGAAATGCATTGTATGATGGGTTTAATTGATTTAAATTAATTATATAGCGAGTTGACAAACATTGCAAGTGTAGAAAATATGTAGTAACTAATGAAAGAAGATTAAACACACCATAATCATTTACTTATAATGATTTGATTTACTACAATATTTTACACTTTATATATTGCATGGTAAGATACATGAGTGACTTAGTACCACATAGAGTTCCTATAAGGTTCAAATTTGAGTTATTTACACGAACACCCCCTGATGTTTTCGATTTTTTCATAAAACTCCTTGAGTTTTTAGAAATTACACGAACACCCCCTGAGGTTATAAATTGTTTTCACAAAACCATTTTCATTGATTTTTCATCTAAAGTTTGATGATTTTATACAAAAAAATTATCCAAATGACAAAGTTGGCCGTTGATATTAGATTGCATACACTTCACTGAGATTAATTTTGTCATTTGCATAAGTTTTTTTTCTAGGAAATAATCAATTTTTGGACAAACGATCAACGAAAATCAAGGGGTGTTAGTGTAAATAACACTTCAAATTTTTCAGCATCTTCATCATCTCGATATTATCGCGATATTTTGACCAAATGTTGTTGAAGTGTGTGAGAAATTATCGACATAGATATTTCTCGATAGTATCAATAATTATACGATGTGTGTATAAATATGTTCTAAAATATCTTAGACCCCAAAAAATGATAATATTGGTGATATTTCATCGATATTATCGATATTTTAGTCATTGAAAAAAAACCAATTTAGCAATTTGCCACCTAAACTTCATTTTCAGTGCAAATAACTAAACTTTTTCAACACACCCCTAAGGGCCAGTTTGACATTTCTGTGCTGTGAAAATAATCGCTGTCAGATTTGCCGTGAGAGAAATTGGTTGTGAGATAAAGCAGTTTGGCGTTTTGTAAACCTTTTGTTAAAAGTGTTGTTTGTACTGATTCTCGTATAATTAGAAAATGATTGCCGCATCGCATAATCATTAAACCCAGCCCCTCTTCAAAATTGATTCCTGCATAATCAGAAAATGAAAGCACCTCATTTTAGCTGCTTTTCCTTATAGCTTTCTTTCGCAGCAATTTTTAACAATAAGTGATTTTATCATAGTTTACCAAATGAGTTGGGCTTCCCAATTTTTTTTAAAAATCACTTATCACCCCAAATAAGCAATGCCAAAACGAGCACTAATAATCCAGGTGGTATATGTACAAAATTCCCATAAGGAAATTTTAAGGACAAAGGTAAATAGTATGAGCATTTCTTTCGGAACTTGGAAGAGGGGGAATGGACCAACGTTTTAAATGGTAAAAAGTATCAATTTATAATATCTAAATGGTAAAAAATATCAATCTATAATATCTAAATGACATAAATGTTAAAATATGACACAATTATTGAGTAAGGGATTTTCCATTAGAACCATGATCACATTTATTATTTCTTAATTAATTACGACACTCTCTTCATCATGGAAAAAAATTCCCAAAATTTTTTCATTCTTTATAAGTAGTTAGATAGAAAGGATGAGAATCACACAAACACTCCGATATAGGAATTTTATGAAGATGGCTACTCTCTCTCGATCTTCTTGCATCATCATTGTTCTCCTTGTCTTCATCACTGCAGGTATATTTTGTCATTTGGGCTTGCATGATCTTTTACGAATGTGTATGTCGAAATTTTACTTTGGGGATCAATAAAAGCTAACTAATTAAGCGTAGAGATTTTTCCACTCTCTTTTTCCTGTTTGCACTCCAACAATTGTTTTTATCTGTTAATTCTTCTTCTTATTTATAATTAAAAAAATGGTTTTCATTTAGCATTGATATTAAATAATTAATACTACCTAATCTGAGCTTATGTTTTACTTAGGGACCCTAATGCCCATGGCGGAAGGTGACGTTTGTACAGAAGATGTAGGTACATGTGGTGATGACTGCAGTTCAAGGTGCGCATCTGCACATGCTGGGGCGAAGGCTGCCTGCGTTTTGAACAACAACATCCCAGTTTGTAGATGCTACTTCGACTGTGGACCTTCAGTCCCACCGCCATACTCAAAAACTTGCAAATTAAGCTTGGGAATATGGGGTGAGCGCTGCTCTGAGGAGGACTGCAACTCACAGTGTGCTGCCAAATATCCTGGACCCCAACAAGGAATGGGATACTGTTATAGTGTTGGAGCTCCTGTTTATACTTCTTGTTTTTGTGAATACAAGTGTTAGTTTTCAGCACAAGGGTTATGGACATTCAAATAAAGGGGCTACTTAATTTCATTGTGGCCAACAAAATATACATGATTTATTTTCTTTCTTTATATTTGTGGCCACAAGCTCTAATGTGGAGTCCCATGTGGCTTATTGAGCAAATTTCCCAATTGGTTCTCAAACTTTTGAAAAGTTCTCATTTTAATCCTCAAACACTGAAATCAATCAATGTACTCCTTCGTCTTTTGGTTTACACATCAATTTGATCATTCATGTCACATTACGACAAAATTTTCATTAAATTTAATCACATGACCAACTTTAAATAGGTATTTTCATAAGTGTCAATTTGTGGCTAAGCCACATTAGTAGGTAAGGAGGAGTTCCTCCTTAAGGACAAGGAGGGAAGCATTATCCTTTCCGATGTGCCAGATAACCATTTCCGATGTCTAAACTTACCAAACATGGATTTCCCATCCCCGAGTCTCATTTTCCATAAACCAAACACCACTTTAGAAATATGAATTAAAGTTGTCTATCAAGATGTGGATGATCAAGCTATTATATATGTTATAGACTTCATAATGGGTGGAACTCTATAAGATATTTTCATCTATAAAAGGCTGGGTTCATGCTCTCACATAAGGCTGCTCATAAAGTTTAGCTCCATTAAGAAATGTAGAGGGTAAAAGATGCCATATGTTAGTTGAATTGGTCTAGATTTTGTGTAATCCCAAGTGATCTTGGGTTCAAGCTCCCATAGTATCCATGTAATGAAAAAAAAAGAAAAAGAAAAGCCACTTCCATTTTCCTTGATTAATAGAATTGTTTGTTACAAATACATAGGTATAATGTCTCAGGGAGCTGGTCAGCAGTATAAACATTGTACAAATAACAGTATTGTTGAAAAATATAAGACCTTTACTTAGGAAGTGGGCTTTTGAACACTCCCCGCGCAGCCCATTAGAAAATCACAATGAAAAATTGTAGTGTGTGTCCATTTCTAGCCGCCATTCCCCCTTCTTGAGTTCCCTCTTTCCCCTTCTTCTTCTTCTTCGGTTCTCTCACATTGAAATAGTCACTCCTACAGTCCCACTGTTCCAAGGAGGCTTCTTCCAAGCCGATTAAAAAAAAAGGAAAAAGCTTTTTCCTCTTTCTTCTTTCACAGTAATTCATTCGGCCATGGACTTGGAATCGAATTACGAAATCGCCCCCACGGCCGAGTTCATTCAGAGCAACACGTTCACCAGAGTCGCTTTACAGGTACGAGTTCTTCAATCTTCCTGTTGCGTCTTGTTTTCCTCTCAATTTTATTTTTCTTTTGTTTGCTTTTTATTTTTCCCTGGGAAACCAAACGTCGAATTGAATGTCGTCTCAGTTCCCTGACGAACTTCTGAAGGACGCGGTGAGAGTTGTGAGTGCGCTAAGGGCCAAGCTTCGCACACTGAGGGAATCCAACGCCGAGCAAAACGACGATGCCCCGGAAGTGGGCTTGTTCGTGATGGCGGACACGGCCTACGGTAGTTGCTGTGTGGACGAGGTGGGAGCATCGCACGTGGATGCTGATGCTGTTGTTCATTACGGCCACACGTGCCTCAGCCCGTGAGTGCTCTGTACTGGAAGTAATTTATGGTTGAAGTCTGGTTTGAGTTTTATTGTGTATGTTGTTGAAGGCTCGTTCTCTTACTTGGGTTTTGTTGGCAGGACCACGACGCTTCCAGCATTCTTTGTTTTTGGGAAGACTCCAATTAGTGTGCCTGATTGTGTGAAGAATCTATCGCATTATGCTTTGCCAAATGGGAGGCGGGTTTTGGTATGATCATTGTTCACTTTTCACTTCTAGACTCATTAGGATTTGATTAAATGGGCAGTTTTTAAATGTTTTGGCTGATACTGAATCATCATTCTGGTTAGATCATCAAGTGCTAGAAATCATAGCTGTAATCAAAGAAAGAAGAAATTATGGATATGGAAGTTAAAACAATAGATGATATGCAACTTAAATGATATTCTTACATGATTTGAAGATCAATTATTCAGAGTAGTAGGATATTGAGGATGAATTTGTAGCCCATAATTTCTTCTTTTCTTTTGTTGAATTTAAATTTGGTAAATTTTTTATTTTTATTTTTATTTCAAAGGAGGGAAAAGAAAAGAACGGAGATGAAAACAGATAAATTCTAGTTGTATCCCATTGCATGAGTAATGAGTTAATTTTTGGCTCAAGGTGACAAAATGGTATTAAACTTGTAGCCCTTCTACCCATCAGCTTACCACTTGATCGAGTCAGTGTTCAGCGTTGTTCATTCAGCATGAGAGAAAGATTGTCTCCTGCAGCAACCTCATCGTCCTTCTACCCATCAATTTTTTCTTTTTCTCTCAATCTGCTTTCTCCTTTATACTCTGCATTATTCTACCCATCATTCAGTTATTAAATATTGAAATGTAGATTATTGTCTATGCACATAATTTTCTATAAGAGACCAAGTACATTTTATTTTTTGGTTAGTTTACCAAATCTGACTTTCTATCCATCTCTAGGTCCTTTTTGGGCTGGATTATGCACATTCAATACAGAATATCAGAGAAAAATTTGCAGAAGTATGCGGGGCTGAATCCAAACCAGAAGTTCAATATGCTAATGTTATTTGCTCAGTTATGAATCCATCAAAAGGTCGTAAAGTCTCAAATGAGGTCCAGGGAACATCTGACAGCCTCACTGATAATAATAGTTTTGGGACAGTATCTGCTAATACGTATAGCATTGGAGGCTTGGTCTGGAAATTGCCTGAGGGACACAAGATGGACGATTACTTACTTTTCTGGATTGGTTCTAATAATTCAGCCTTTGCAAATATTGTTTTGACATATAATGGCTGTGAAATAGGTACATAAACTACTTTCCTTTGTTTGTTTTGGTCTTGAGGTTGCAGCTTTCTTTTGTTTTTCTCTTGTGGATTCCTTATCCACTTGCTTGTTTCTTTGAAGTTATAAAGTTTCTATTGAAAAAAAAGGTGTATAAACCACTACTTTCTTTTGTTATACATTTTGTTTGAGTATATATACACGCATGTGCGAGTGCATCTCATATTCTGTTTTCTTGTGTCCTCAAACAATTTTTTTTTTCTGATGAGTTGTGCTGTTTCAGATACATCATATAGACCCATACATCAAATATCATACATGTGGTGGTTCTTGGACTTTCGTTTTTCTTTTTTCTATATATTGGTGGATTTCATTTTTGCACAAATAAAGAGGGATATTTTCTCTATACATTTGTCATGATGGATGCATCATATCTGTAGTGCACACACATTTGATATTTTCCATTTAGGCAAATAGCTGTTTGCGTTCCCCTTTCTCCTTTTCTGACTGAGGCAATCAAAGTGTCTAGGACTCTAGCCACCATGTCTTCGACCCATACATCACACACACACACACACACACACACACACACACCTGCAAACAGTGCCGACGTCCGGATGAGAGAAGAATTTCAGTTTTCTCATCTTATTATATGCTGCCAAATCAAGCCACTACACTGCTATATTAAAATATCCAGTCGGTGCTGTAGAAGTATGCATCTTCACATCACTTTTTACAATGAAACACACCTGCAAACATTGGAGTCCACATGCTAAACAATCTGGTCGTCCGGATAAGAGAAAAATCCTATATTATATGTATCCCAAAGTAACGAATTCCCCACAAGTCCTGTTCGCAAAGTAGGATGAAGTATTTTAACTTGGTAAATGAACTCAGGCCACTTACGGTTCTCCCTTAGTTTGTCCAATATTTGGCAGAAGGAACTCAAGGAATAATATGAAAATATGATAATTGGTCCTGTCATTTTTGTTTTCTTGGTTACGAATAGAAACTTGATTTATTGTGGGAGAGAAGATAAGGAGCCAGATTAAGATTTTCAAGTTTAAAAAGTTAATTTTCTTAAAGCACCTAGTGTGTGGAAATTGATATGCTATTGCTTATTCAATTTTTCTTACTCAATCTTGTTTATAATTTTTGGTGGTTTTGGTTTTAGTCAGATATGATGCCTCGGAAAGCAGTATGGTGACTGACTTATCTCAACAAAGAAAGATTCTTAAGCGCAGGTATTATCTCCAAAATCTTTGTACTGTTCGCTGTTTCCACTAATCTTTGCTCATACAAGCACAATAATTGTGACATGATAGACCGTGTGTTCCTTCCACCATGTGTTTTATTCTTGTCATGCTCTTCTTTCATATGATTTATTGTGCGAGCAATCTCTCATCCAGATATTACCTAATGGAGAAAGCAAAGGATGCTAACATTGTTGGGATCTTAGTAGGAACCCTTGGTGTAGGTGAGTTCTTGTGTGGGATCCTCTAGTCTTTATTTTTTATTAATCCACTGTGTTGAAATTGAGCAATCAGTTTGAATAGTTCTTGTAATTGTACAGCTTGCTATTGGAGATTTTTTTTTTTTTTTTTTTTTTTATTTTATTAGTTTTCCAATATTGAACCATGTGTTGGTTAATTTCACACTATACCCATAGTGTTTCTGTATGTGCCGGTATTTTGTGTTTTTTTTTTCTTTTCCATCTCAATTCTAATCTGGTTATTCATTCTGTAATTAATCATGATAATCATGAAATGGTTTTTTTTTTTTTTTTTTTCATTTCAGTATGGGTACATCTTATTATGTACCATTCAAGGACTTTAAATTACTCTATCTTAAATTTCAGTTATGTTGGGATCCTTTCAGAAAAAGAAAAAACGAAATTCAATTAAGGGCACATTCTTTTACTGATGCATAACTGAGAGCCTAGAAAATTAATTAACTTTTTTGGCAATTATGATGCAGCTGGTTACCTGAATATGATTCATCAAATGAAAGTGCTGATTACAGGGGCAGGGAAAAAAGTCTATACTCTAGTTATGGGAAGACCAAACCCTGCAAAACTTGCCAACTTTCCTGAGGTCTGATACATGCAAGTAGATGTGTTCATATGGAATTTAGAATATTTGAAGTTCTAATAAGTTAATTGTAGATTTTTATTTGTGGCAGTGTGATATTTTCATTTATGTCTCTTGTGCCCAAACTGCTCTTCTGGATAGCAAAGAATATTTAGCTCCAGTAATTACACCTTTCGAAGCCATGCTAGCTTTCAACAGGTACTGCATTAAATAAGGTCATATTTATATCGTACATTCAGTGCCATGAACTTAGGTTCCTTGTATATAGAATGGTTCCATATTTGCTCATTGTCTTATGAACTACTTGCTACTTGATATCCCTCACATGAGATGATCTGTTATTACATATTCCTAAGGTGTGGATTCAAATTAGTATACCTTAAATACTCCTAAGATGTGCATTGACAAGATGAATTAATTAGCTAATTATCATTCCTCGTTTATCCCTGACCACTGAAAGTTCAAATTCTTACCGCAGAGGATGTCAGTGGACTGGAGAATATGTAATGGAATTCCGCGATTTGATTAATTCTTCTCCAGTGGAATCAAGGAACTTTTCTGAAGAAGCACGATTTTCCTTCTTGCAAGGTGGTTATGTAGAAGATTTTGATCCGCAAGGTAGTTCTCTTATTTTTCTAATTTATGCAATTGTTATGGCATCATTGAGTGAAAAAATAGAAGACTTTCAACATATAAAGTGACTCGTGTGTCTCTGAGAAATGATGGATACTATATGCACCTTCTCCCTCGCCCCTCCCCTTTTTAAAAGACATTTGGATGATTAGCTTAATTTATTTTTCTTACCTTAGATTGATTGTTAGAGCAAAGAAATCTGTGCTTTAAGTCCATATTTGTCTTAAGCTTCTATCCTCATTAGAAGTATGGATCAAATATTGCACTATCCACTGGCTTTTTCGTTGTGGTCTCGGTCAATTAAGGACAGGTTTATGCTGGTCCATCACAGTGCCATATAATGAGCTATTATCTGAGAAGTTGAACTTTTTTGGTGGAAATAAAAGGGTTTGTAGTTGAGCTGAGTAGTGCTATGACGGAAATTTTCTGGGTTCTATTGGTTGAAAAGAATAGTAGCATATTTGGGGGCGAGGAGGTGAATGTTTGTGGGATAGGATGCGTTTCTGGGCTTCTTTGTGGGCATCTGTAGATTAGGAGTTTAAGGAGCTATATTTTCCTGCTATCTAGTCTGATTGGAAAGCATCTGTTTTGCAGTCCTATGAAATTTCTGTTTTGTCTTTATGTTTTCCTTTAGGATTGAGGTCATGATGCAGAGTTTATGTGTAGTTTTCTTTCAGAAATGGACTCCTTGTTCACTTATGTTTTACTGTTATAATTTCTTTAATAAGAGCTATGTTTCTTATAAAAAATAAAAAAGTGAAGGGCAAAACAAAGTTTAATTGGGATTTATTGTTCGAGACCCACATGTAAATAATTACATTGGAGAACTGTTTATCATTTAGATATTGTGAGACTAAAACTACCTCGTTTTACCAAAAAGATTGTTATAAGGGTAGACATTTCAAACTTGGAAGTTCTGAAATTGTTGTATAACCAGGGAATGGTACTGAGGAAGATAAGGAAGGAGCTCTTGCTTTAGCAAATGCGACAGAGAAGGTTCTGCAATTGCGTGATAACCCGAATTCTATAGTGAAAGGAACAGCTAAATCTGGTGCAGAGTTTTTAGCCACTCGATCCTATCAAGGTCTAGATATACATTATGACGGTTCCTTGCCTGAACCATATTTTATCGGGAGAAGTGGGAGGGCAGCAGGGTATGAAGATGAGAAGAACGGGCATGAGAAATCATAATCAAATTAGAAAAACTTGGAAAGAGTGGTTATGATGAAGACGTGCTTGAGGATGTGCCCTTAAGTAGAAGTAGATGTGTGGAAGGCAGCAGGTCTAGGCAGTCAGCCGAGAGGGGACAGGTAAATGAAAGAGCATACTCTTGATGTCTGCCTTCCAGCATGGAGCGCAGCTATTTGCCAATGATGAGACTTTGTAAGGGGAGAAACAAAAGGGGATTCTATTAGAAGCATGCCTTATTGCCTCATCTATTTTTGTAGACATTTTTGGGTTTTTTGTTCTGTTTTCTATTGTGGTATGTAATTTAATGAAATGGTGACATGTAATGAGCAACCAAGGTCCTGTTTGATGGCTTTGTTTCTTATTTTTGGGTACTTTTCATCAAAGATATAGAAGAAAAATGAGAAGATAGCGAGAAGAGATACAATTAAATGTGTGGGAAGAAAAAACTGTATTCAGGTTGACTCATAAAATAAAAACTAAAACCAGTAATAAATAGATTACTTTTTCCGTTTGGTTCATGAGAAAGAAGGCTTGGGATTGGGAAATCAATTGCTTTGCACATAGGAAAGTATGGGAAATCAATTGCTTTGTTTTCCTCCTCATGGGAAAGTTTGGGAAAATGAGCCAATATTAAATACATATTTTTTATGATCATATTGTCCTTATTAACAATTTAAAATTACAATATAACATGATTGCATTATTTTTTCATTTGGTTTCATGTGGGTATAATTGGAAAATTAAACAAATTTTGTTTTACATTTCTACAAATATGTGAAAGAAAATGAAATGGTATTTCTTGATTACTTTCTCAGGATTACTAAATATGGGAAATGAATTTCCATTTCCATCTTTTGGAAAATGACGTGGAAAATGATTTTCCCTTAAATTCGTTCCGTGAACCAAACGAGAGGTCAGGTAGATTTACGACTTTTCTAAATTGAATACCTCCAAACTTTTAAACTTCATAAAAGTCATTAAAAGTTTGAATTGAATACATATTCGTTCCTAGACGGCATGACTTTATCTTTTATTTATTTAAAGAACTTGGACAGCATAAGTAGGTAAAATAATAATAATAGCTTGATTAATTATCACCGAAACCAATTTGCACGTCCCACATGCAAGTCAAGGTTAACTCAAGTCATACGCGATTGCTGATAAATACAAGTCGGAAAATGAATTTCTAGGGAAGTTATTATGTGTATTTCAAACTCTATGTTTCTTTATAAATATCCAACAACAAATCTTAACCTTCATTCTCATTCTTCACTAAGCGCTTCACCAAAATGGCTTTCTACAATACAATAAAACACCTTGTAAGCCTCATTGCCCTATTCTATGTAGCTGGAGCAGTGCTAAAAAATTTGACAGCACAAAGTTGTGGCTGTGCCCCAGAGATATGTTGTAGCCAGTATGGCGACTGCGGCAGCAGCGATGGTTACTGGGGCCAGGGTTATAAAAAAGGCCCTTGTACTAGCAGCGGTGGCAGCACAACTACCACACCAAGGACCAATGTTAGTGGTGGTTCGTCGGTGGCTGATATTGTAACCCCAGAATTCTTCAACAGGATCATTAACCAAGTGTTTAAGCCTAGTTTTTACGTATCCAAAATTAAAGCTAATTGGTCCAAGTACATGATTTGGGCTTTAATTGTACAAGTGTAAGTCAAATACTTATAAATTTTTTTTAATAAGAGCTATGTTTCTTATGTAAAAAATAAAAAGTGAAGGGCAAAACGAAGTTTAATTGGGATTTATTGTTCGAGACACACATGTAAATAATTACATTGGTGAACAGAGAAGGCTCTGCAATTGCATGACAACCCTAATTCTACAGTGAAAGGAACAGCTAAATCTATTGCAGTATTTTTGGCCACTCGATCCTATCAAGGTCTAGATATACATTATGAAGGTTCCTTGCTAGAACCATATTTTATAGGGAGAAGTAGGAGGGCAGCAGGGTATGAAGATGAGAAGAACGGGCATGAGAAATCGTGATCAAATTAGAAAAACGTGGAAAGAGTGGTTAAAATGAAGACGTGTTGGAGGATGTGCCATTGAGGAGAAGTAGATGCGTGAAAGGCAACAGGTCTAGGCCACCGCCCGTGAGGGGACATGTAAACGAAAGAGCATACTCTTGATGTCTGCCTTGCAGCATGGAGTGCATCTATATGAAACCGAGAATATGTAAGGGGAGAAACAAAAGGGGAGTCTATTATAGTGGCATGCCCCCTTTTGCCTCATCTATTTTTGTAGACATTTTTGTTTTTTGTTTTTTTGGGTTATGTTTTCTATTGTGGTATGAAATTTAATTAAATAATTATTGTGTGGAAACACCTTAAGACTTTGTCTTTGATAGACTATGCAACATGTACGCATAAAACCACAAGAAAAATAAACACACACACCATGAAGAGAGATAAAGCAAACACACAAGAACACGAAGATTTATAGAGGTTCGTCAACCTGACTATGTCCTCTCTAATGATAGCCCTGAGAAATTTCACTAGAACAATAGGAACAACTTTTGTTTACAAGGAAAACTGCCTTAGCTCTCTACTCTATCAAACCCTAGGTCTTAATTTCTCTCACACACCTTCGCTCAAACCCTTTGATGCCCTAGTAAACTTCCCAAGAATTATGTTGTGATTGGCTTCTTCTATTTAACCTAGCTCCAAAAGTCCTATTTATAGAGTATAGGGCTTGGGTTACAAGTTTACTAAGAATAGGAAACCAAAACCCTTCTAGATTAGGCTAAGAAACCCAAAACAAATAGGCTAACACGTCAAAACTCACCAAAACTCCAAAACACGCATGAGATTACTCACGCACTGATTGTTCGTCAAGATTAGGTGACAGGTCGCCTGGAGCAAAATTCACGACTCGAGCCTCTCTGCCAAAATCCAACCAGTCGGCTAGCCACACTGACCGGTAGCTTTCTTGTTGCTGCCAAATCCTGCAACTTCTTCTCCTCTCTTGCTCTTCATGCAGCACCTTGATTCCTCTTCTTCTTCCCGCATTATGGTGAGCCAAATCACAACAATAGCGACATGTAATGAGCAACTAAGGCAAGCGTGAAACTACTCACAGGGCTATATATAACTTGTTTTATATATAGCCCAATATGTACTAACTTATTAAAGTCCAAAAAAGTCTAAGTCAATTTAGTTGGAGAGCATTAATAAACATACACATTAAAATAGGTACACTTTCAATTATGTTGTTGAACATATTTTCATTTTGATAATATGTGTTTTTTGGTTGCATTTAATATGTATTTGTTTTAAGTTTTTTTTAGGATCTTTCCTTTTGAGAGGGGCGATAATGTACTAAACTCACACACACTATATTGATACTCGGACTCGAACTCAAGACCTTGCATGGGGGAGCAATTTCTCCAAACCACTATACCAGTGGGTCCTTTGTGTATTTGTTTTAATTTAAAGCTTATTGGAAATTAACATTTAGCTCTGCACTCGAGGGCCTAAGTTCGATTTCCCACTCATCCAATATCGCTTATATAAGAAGGAAAAAACTTATTGGAAATTAGTCAAATGAACTATGAACTAGTGTATGTTTTATTATTATTTTTATTTTTATTTTATTTTTATAACAAAACAATACAAGCAACAGTCTAAACTACAAGTGGGAGGAGGGTTTCTCACACACACATTATCAAGGTGCCATAGGGGTTCAAACATGAGACCAATGGTCTGCAAGTCAATGCCCTTTTCCATTGGGCTAGACCCCATTGACGAACTAGCGTGGTTATATATGATTTAATGTATGCTTTTATTTCTAGAAAGACTATAGAATCTGTAAATACAAAAAAAATTATCATTAAATTTTAAACTAATAACTTTAACTAGACCACCCTTGAACTAAGGTCCTGTTTGATGGCTTTGTTTCTTAGTTTTTGGTTACTTTTCATCAAAGATATAGTGAGGGGAGACAATAAATGTGTGGGAAGAAAAAACTGTATTATTCAGGTTAATTCATAAAACAAAAACTAAAAAGGGTAATAAATACATTAGTTTTAAGTTTTAGATTTACGACATTTTTCATTTCTTGCTTGCATTATTAACTGTCATTTCTTTATCTTTTTCTCATCTACATTGTCTTCATGTCTTTAGACTAAAAGAAAAATTGCTTTGCCCCTATGCTAATCCCAAAACGGGTGCATCCGTAGTAGTAATTGGTACGAACACAATGCAATGGATTGATATCAATCTATGCCCTGGTATAGAAGAGTGAATCCATCAATCTAACGGCTACAAAATCGTATTTGTACTAAGTCAATTTCGTACCATAATTTCTATTTTCTCTGGTTACAGCTGAACTGGCTTTTGTTTCTCCTACGCCACATGACTTCGAAGAAAATTGAAATGTTAAAATTTTTAAGGAAATAATTTCGGCACTCGAAAAAAACGCTTAAATTACCCTTATGAACTTCTCATGAGTAGTAGAGGAGTATGCAACGTGAGATTTGAAGTGTGGAAATTATCTACAAATTTTATTATATTTGTGGAGCTTAAACAAAGCACATGTACTACAACTTACGAGTCTACAAGATGGTTCGAATTCGAAGCTTCAAAAGTCCCGTCAATGGATGGGGCCGTCTGAGTTGTTTGTAGTACGGTGTCCTGGACGCCATGACTTCAAGAATTATTTAACTTGGACTTCGTGGAAATGGGGCTTTTTCTTTGGGTCAAGAAGTCAGTCAATGGAATACGTGTTCTCTCTGCCATCGATAGGGCCGCCTGTGTTTGCCTTTTCTTTGGGTCAAGAAGTCAGTCAAGTCTTTGTTCATAATATTTTTGAAATTGTTAAGGCATCTACTGTGGCTAATAAAATTAATCAACACGTTGTTTTAAGAAAATATTAAGATAACAACTATTTATTTGAGTAGACAAATTGATTCAGATTCAAGTGATGATTTTTGCAGAAATCGTCTTTAAGGAATACCAAAAATATAAATTATTTGGATTATTGAATAACAATGTTGTGTGAGTCCTATATCAGTATTTCACAAATAAAAGATCTCTCAAATGAAGCTTTTGTGAGTAGGTAAAGGAATGCGAGCCTTATTAATTACTCCGACAAGATTATGGACCACCATGGAAAAACTCCTGCGCTAGTTGGTAAAGGATTACGAGCTTTATTAATTAACCCCGACAAAATTATGGAACACCATGGAAAGAATCCTGCGCTAGTAGATGTAATTTGGGAATCCAAAGAAACCAATTTGCACGTCACACATGCAAGTCAAGGGCAACTCAAGTCATACACGATTTCTAATAAATACAAGTCGGAAAATGAATTTCTAGGAAAGTTATGAGCATTTCAAACTCTATGTTTCTCTATAAATATCCAATAACAAATCTTAACCTTCATTCTCATTCTTCACTAGCCTTTCACCAAAATGGCTTTCTACAATACAACAAAACACCTTCTAAGCCTCACTGCCCTTGTCTTTGTAGCTGGAGCACTGCTAAAAAATGTGACAGCACAAAATTGTGGCTGTGCCCCACAGCTATGTTGTAGCCAGTATGGCTACTGCGGCAGCGGCCAAGATTATTGCGGCCCGGGTTGTAAACAAGGCCCTTGTACTGGCGGTGGTGGCGGCACAGCTACCACACCAAGCCCCAATGGTGGTGGTGGTTCGTCGGTGGCTGACATTGTAACCCAAGAATTCTTCGACGGAATCATTAACCAGGCTCCTTCAGACTGTGCTGGGAAGAACTTCTACTCTCGAGATGGTTTTATTAACGCTGTCAACTCATATTCTAACTTCGGTAGACTTGGTTCGGTTGATGAGTCTAAACGGGAAATCGCAGCTTTCTTTGCTCATGCCACTCATGAGACTGGCTGTAAGATATTCCTTTCCTCCCCTCTCATACATACAATGTGACTTGTGTTAATAGTATACATACATGCCCAAATTATAACTCCCCTCTCTCATTAAAAACGTGCATATGTGACATGTTGTGAAATTATATGTTTCACAACGTGCAATAAGAGCACGTTGTATTATACAACTTTTAGCAACAGGCGTTTAGTGTGCGTTGTCAAAATGCGTTTAGTGCATATCATGTCTGAAAGTTTCTATAGTTGCTAAATATTTTCCATGTATTAAGAACATCTATAATCATGCTCTTTATTTTTTAGTTAAAAACACACAAAAGTTATTTTAGGAGCTCTCTATAAAATTTCAACTTCAATCATACTCTCTAATTTAGGGAGTCATAAATGCTAGAATTATATTTTAATAGACAATATTGATTAAAGGTTTTAAAATATTCATTAAATAGGGTAGCATTAAATTATAGGGAGCCACTAGGAGTTCATTCTCTCTTCTCAGATTTAGGGGGTCCTAGAGGTCTCCCTATTTTAGGAGCTGGATAGGGAGCATGGTTGGAGATGAGTTTTCTTACTTCCTCCCTAAATTTTATCTAAGGAGGTGGTTTAGGGAGTCCATTGTGGATGCTCTACGCTCCACAATTTCCGAATGAATTTCCTCACTATGATCTGCACAGATATTTATGTCAACTACTTTATAACCTATAAAAATTCAAAACCCTTATTTGTCATATAAAAATTTGATGGGTCATATATACTGTCACCATAAATAGAACAAACAAAAGAAAACACAGATGAACCTAACA